TCCAAGGTAATACAAAAGAACTCTTTACCCAGATTAACTAATTGTTCACTCGTGCTTTATCTTTCATGCTCTCTGTCTATACACATGTATACTACTTTTTCCCAAGTCATTTGGAAGTCAGTTCCAGGCATCATGCCCTTTGAACCTTAAATACTTCAGTGTGTAATACTGGATAATTTTTTTAAATGATTTTTTCTGAGGAAAAAAAAAGTGGAACTATAATACTGTAAGCCTTAGAATAAGGAATCATTTTGAGTGCCAGTGTAAATAAAGTTCTTTTTGAGTTTGTTGTCCTTTTGACGCTTGATCTCTATAGTCATAGGGCATATAATTTTTGTTCTTTGTACCTGAGGTTCATTTCCTTTTTATCCCTAAAAATGAATTTTGGGAGATTTTCATTAGTGGCAGTTCTTTAATGATAAAAATATTTGAAGGGGTTTAAGAATTTTGATCACATGGTAATTGTGAAAGAAATTATAAAAGAAACTGTACCTCAAAATGATGTGTGCCCTCTTTATACTAGGAAGTTATACCATGTTAAGATGTCACATTATTAATAAAGCAGGGTTTATTTATATGATGGTTTAGAAATACCATTTTATACTGCTGTGTACTTCTTTTCTGTGTCCCTGAAGCCTGGTATATTGCCAAGTACATAGTAAGCACATGGTGGGTATCCAATAAATATTTGTTGAATGACTGTATGAATATGTATTTGGTACATCTTAAATGAAAAACCACAGAGCTGAGTTTAACAATATGTGTCATATTTTTCTCTCTCCCGCCCCCAATTGAATAAGGCAGGAAAAGAATGACATTAACCTACTTATTAAGTCAATATTCTTGGAGACTCAGACTATGCCGTGAGCACCGTGTGTAAAAGTTTAAAGGACATTTGTACTACTCTGAACCTGTGTGGAAGGGTTTAAATGGCAATTTTTTCTGTATGCTCTTCTGACTCTCACGTCATGCCCTCACCCTTTTTTAAGTCCGTCTTTTTGAAAGAATATTTCTGTCATCACTTTGTCACCTCCCACTTGCTCCTTAACCAAAAATCTTGCTTTTGACTCTGTAGTCCCTAACCATTTCTTCTTTTGAAGTAAAAAATTTCAGTTCTAAATTCATAATTCAGTTCAGAAGCCATTTCTTATTTGACTTTTTTTTTTTTTCCTGCATTTGATACTGTTGGGCAACCCCTTCTTTAAAGATATGCCCCTATATCCCTCCCTCAGGTTCCTTATATTTCACTCCTGGGCTTCTGGATGTGTCCTTTTTTTAGGCTTTTTTCATTTATGCCTTAAATGTTATTCCTCAGACTTTCACCACCACTTACTTCTCACTCTTGGGTAGTTACGACTCAATGATGTCCAAGTTCTTACCATTAGTCCAGACTTCTCAATCGTCTGTTTATAACATGTCTTTACTGTTGTCCCACAGATATCTGTGGGTCTTAAAACAACCATTTTCCCCCCAAATCTATTCTTATGCCTGTGATCCTTACTCTTGTTAATTTCAGAGCCATCATCATCTAAATTCTCCAGGCTCATTCCTCTGCATCTTTCCGTATCTGGTCAGTGTGTTAGCACTGTGGAGTTGATCTCCACATGTCTGATGCATTACTGTCTTTCCCTTTTCTTTGGTCTTATCTAGAGCACCACACTGGCCTGCTTCCCTGTTCCCAGACTATCTCCTCCCATACACCCCACAATACTGTCACAGTAGGCTTTCTAGAAGCACTCAAACAAGGTCCTCTGACACGTCTCCCAGTCCTGTCCCCAGCCACTATGCTTTGATAAAACACATAGTTCTTCAAATGTGCCGGGTCACCTTGGTGCATGCTGTTCTCTTTGCATCATGTGCTCTAGCCATCCTTCCCTACCTGGAAAATGCCCATTTCTCGTTGCAGACCACCATAACGCCCGCCTCTGTGCGATTTGCCCTTGCTCCACTCAAGGAGTATCTTCTAATTGCCTCTCTAATGTCACCACTGTAATTACAACCTACCTCTATTGTATCATTTATTGTACTGTATTTTCTTTTAAGCCTCCTTTACTAGAATGTGAGCTCCTTAAGGGCAGGAAAAGGAACTTTACCCACTTTTGCATCTCCATAGCATATTTTTTGGCATATGAACCCTTAATAAATGTTTGTTGGATAAATTGCTTTTCAGATGACAATTTTATTGTACTAGAGGTCAGACCTTCACTCCGAATATTCTTTACGACGAGAGTCAATAGATTCCCAAGGATTTGTGACATTGGGGGAAGGTCAGTAAAGCTCAAAATTTGGTGTGGTTTTGGCAAGTTATGAAGCGAGTCTATTATGGAAAAAATGGTAAGAACTATTCTTTGAGGGGAAAAGGCAACAACATCACTGAAGAATTTCTTGAATAATCAAAGAATAACTGCCCAACATTATGGCCTAGCTAAATTTATTCCTGTTTAAAATTGAAGGAGAAGGAGGGCGGTGTTCTAAGACATTTCATTATAAAGATTTTTTCTTAGCTTAATGTTGGAATAAATGTACTATCGAAATCATACTGATATTTTAAACTAAGGTGCAAATTCACATAAAATCTGTATAACATTAAGGGACATAATGTCCAGATGTAAATATAAGCTCACTAACAACAAACTGTCATTTGTAATTCCTGATATTTTTGTCTTTTCTTTGGTAGCACTAGGGTTCTTCCCTGGGTATGCTAGAAACTTAGGGTTGTCAATGGAAACGTTTTAAGCAAACCAGAGCACCAAATAAAAGCACAAACACTTTTATTTTTAACAGTAGTGTTTTGTTACCATTTAGTGAAACAACAAATAAATACATTCATTGGCCACAGCTATACTTTTATGACCAGTTTGAAACTGACTGTATAGCTGAGAAACACTGTTAAACAATAAAAAAGGCAGCTATGCATAAAAAAGCCACTTTAACTATAAATTACATCTTTCATAAAACTACAACCAGCTATAATGAGTGGTAAGAGTCTCAAAATTAATGACCACCCAAATGAAACAATAAAAACAAGTACTGCTAATCACTGTAGAATTACACACTTAAGCAATGAAATTCACCATTCTAATTAACCGAAAAAGAAGGTCTGAAATTGTCATCATGTGCTTCAGTGCAAGATGAGCAGGGAATCGGTAGCCCTTTGATTTCATCAACTCCTTCTTTCGAGACCAAACTTAAAGTGCTCCTAGTGCTTTGGAATTTTTAAGCAAATATTGGGCCAGAAGCTTATCTTTCTTTGTCTTTGGTGATGTATTATGGGAGATGTGTATAAGGAGACAAATGTAAGAATTCAGGTACCCTAGTTAGGGATAAGAAGAAATATACAAATCTGAAATTTGGAAGAATCCACAAATGTAGCTGAAAGAACCAAGATATTTTACCTGGAATTTTTTTTTTTTTTTTTTTAAAGTAACCTTTGCTTATCTGGTCAAATAGGAAAACTACCTAGGGAGGCCTTAGAAAAAATGTACCTTATTTACTTTGAACCCCAAGGATTCACAGAGATATCTTTTCAGATAGTTCTAGGTAGATACCCAACATTATTAGGAAAATAAATAGTTGGCATTCTGAAAAGAAATTTAGCAACTGAAGTTGTCCTCAAAATATACTCAGTTAAGTGCATGTTACGTTGTCATGTAAATACTAAGGTTAACTTCTGTACTATACATTTTTAAAGAATTTGGTCACAACAAGAGAACTTACAAACAAACCCAAAGTAACATAACTAGGTTTATGCTTCTGATTGAGTTCAAAATCATTTTGTATGATAAAAAGAAGGAATTTCTTTGGCTATGTACCAGCCTTTCAAAAGAGCGAAAGTATTAAAAATTTCATTTGTTCCCGTTAAACTTTTGTGAAGTTACTAAATAAGCAATTATTAAAACATTGAATGGTGTTTTTTTCCCATCGAAAGGTATTTTAAGAGTACAAATAAAACATAACTTTCTAACCAAAGTAGAAGACAGAAAAGGACAGTTGTGTTAGTTCAGTTCTGAAGAAACAGATCAGCAGACAATTTTACGTAGCTGGTCGTCTTTAAGCATGTTGTGACAACTTCCCAATGTTGCCTGTTCCCTTGGCATCTTGAGGTATTCAGCATCTACTTCTTTCCGTATAGATACTGGTAGAAAGTGCATTTTAAAATCCTTTATTACCTTAGCCTACCATATATATATATTTTTAGATTTGGGATAGGACATTCAAGACAGTTTTAATATAATTCTAGTAGTATTTCAATATTGTTAAACAGTGGTTTTATACTTACCTAGTTAGTACCTTTGCGTCAGTTTGCTTATTCAGTGCTGGAATTAATTTGAATTAAATTTGATCTGGCTTTGCCCATTTACAAGATATAAAAACGGGAAAACTAAAGGAGGAATTATATGTCTTACGAAGTATTGCACTTGAGTTTACTGCAATAATGTATCATGATTTAATTTACCTGAGGACAATTCTGATTCAATAGGTACAATCAGCTATATCTTGTTCAGCTAAATCCAATGCTTTGAAAATGTACTCATGTTTTAACTTAGAATCGTACATTTTATGAATAATTCTTAAATGCATCTGTAAACTTGTTTAGTCCCAAGAAGTTTCTACCAAAATCTCCCTATGCAAAAATCACTATTGCTTTCTTGAAGAATCATGCTTAAACTACTACAGATATCTTAATCATACAAAATAATCACTTGACCAATTCTACTCAAAATAGCCACATAATTTTCACCGGTATACTTTCTTCTTGAAGAAATGCCTGTGGCCTTCCAAAGAACACTGCCAGTCATCACTGAAAAGGATTACTATGGTCGTTTTAAAAAAAAATGATTGAATAATTTCAGTTGGTATTTTACAATCATGCTTAAAATAACTATCTTCAATGATTACATATATTTTAGATTTTAAAAAAGAATGATACATTGTTACGCTTTAATCCTGTGCACTGTTCACACTGTAAAATTTTTATTGGGTAAGAATTCTGCATAGAATACACCACTGAATATACAGGCTTTAATTTTTCATAGGAAAATTGCCTCCTAATTAGGTGTACAGTGTAATATCCCAGTGTGAACACTGGAGTGTGACTTTGGGGACCGCGGTGTATTCTTTCAGGACAAGATAAAAGTGCAAATATGCAAATATGCATGTGATGTTCCAGAGTCAGGGTGTTTGCAGCCATCAAGTGCCTTAAGATCGAATCCCTCTTTTCTCCCACTCCACACTTCCCATTTTACTTTACTTTGTATGAAGTTAAAAGTAACAGGTGTGTCCTCTGCTGAACACAGCCACATTTCCAGGCTTTGTTTTCAGTTGCGACAGATAATGGAATGTTTATGTAGGTGGAATTTAAACACATCGAATATACACGTTCATGTAAGACAATGGCGGAATCACATCTCTGAAATGCTCTCAGTTTTGTGGTGTTACATACAAGCTATGGTGATTGCTCATATCTAAGTTGCTACAAGTAAACAGCAATGGAGCAGTATCTGTCACAGGTCCATTCAGGTGGGGAGAAACTGTGTAACTGTTGCTGCCACACCCAGTCATGGTGCCATACCAGCCCAAACCTTGGGAATTCGATAAACTGCAACAACAAAAAAAGGCAAAAAGGCCATAGGATGGTGATCAGAATATAGGGCACGTTGGCATTTTTAGCATTCGATGACTTATAATATAAAAAGTTAGTATCAAATATGTTGAAATATGTTTTTTGCCAAATAACATAGTAGCTTTCTATAAAATGTAATGACTTTTATCTAATATCCTTGATTTTGTAACACATATTACAAAAGAATAAATACATCAGAATTAGAACTTGATTATCAGATAATAATATAGTGCTTATTAAGGACGAGGTTCTATTTTAGGACATGTTTGTGTGTGTATATACATAATAATGTATATACATGCACATACCCTATTTAATCTTCACAACAATCTCATTAGATAAACTCTATTACCACTATTTTACAGATGAAGAGCAGACTAAAAAGGGTTAAGGAACTTGTCCAGGGAAGTGAAAATTGCAGAAAATGCTATTACCAAGCTCAAAGCTTGCATATGGAGGTATGCATTTAGCCTTTCACTTTGCCCTGATACACAGCTAATGGTACAGAGCTGCAATGGTTTTAGAATGAGAAGGACACAAGATTTTCTATGGCCACTAAGCTTCCTGAGAGTTTCATCCAGGGTTTCTTGGTGGGTTTTGAATAGCACTATAAATAAGGAAACATAATCACTCTAATTGTATTCCTTCCCTGTTCATCAACCCCTGCCAGCTTTGAACCAACATGGAACCTGAAATGAGATGGTCCCATTTTACACACAGAGGCATTTCCCAAATAAAGGTAATATATAGACTTAGAGTCCGATGACAGTTCTTTATAGTATAGGTCCCTCTATGTGTGTAATGCCTAATGCTCTAAGATCCAGGTTAAATGATCTTATTTACTGACATATGGCACCCAATCTACCTTTCTCATATTTGGGTTAAAGCTTAGGTTTGTTCTTGTCAATCTATTCAGTACTAATTCAGTACATTTACCTTCCTTCTCTTGAACTTCCCAGTCTTGGCAAGTCATCATCACTATCGTATCGTCTTGGATTGTCGAAAAAGTAAGCTCTGGAACTGTAATTGTGACTATTTATCATGCCAGCAGGTGCCTGTGAACAAAGTATTAAATAGCATATGAATGTTTCTTTTCAACCAAGAAAGGAGGCTGAGATCTAGAATGCTTTTTAGTTTTAAGCTTTGCCCCAAAAAACCCCAGAAAATTGATATAAACTTTCCATTATTTTTATAAAAATAAGGGGAACAGGCATTGGGGAATATTATGATATCATACCAAATTCTGGTTTAATCTCTGCGCCCGGAAAAAGAGTACCACTGACCATGCTGGCACATGTTCCCACAGAAAGAGGACCATTCCAAATACTATATACTCTTCTCCACTTATGTCTTCTAGATGAGCCTGTAAACAGAGTATGACAGGGCCATTTTTAAACCTGTTTTTTTCTATAAGCAGTCACCCGCCACAGTTAATTTGCTTCAGGTAGGGTAAGTTAAAACACACCAACTATAGACACATAAATCTCTAAATTCATTTTCCATAGTTTGTGGTTTTATGTCCTTTAAAGGACATAAAAATGCTTTGATGTTAAGTAAAATAAAAAGCTATTAACTTTTTCAATGCATCAGTTTGTGAAAATATTTTTAATATATGGGTAAGTTGAAATTATCTCATTTCTAGACTCCACAGTCTGAAGAGAGTTACAAAAGAGAGGACTGGTTCTAGCTACTACATAGCTAACCTAATAGCACCTACTGAGTTACACCTGTAGAGAAATGTCACATGTTAAGTAGCTCAGCCCCACTGCTATTTAAAAATATGCTTTGGGGCAAAAAAAGAGAGAATGCTTTGGGGCCTAAACTTCATATTGAATTTGCTTTTATTCTGCTAGATGTTGGGTGAGAGAAGAGGAAAAAGGAGTGAAGAGAATCTGCCAGCTGGAACTACAGGTGAAAATTCCCTTACTGAGGAAGGAAAAAAAAAAAAATTAAGAGAATTCCCTTTCTTTAGAAAGGTAACTGAAATTCTGATAAAATGATATTCCAGAATGTCTTAAATTCAGCACAAAGTTATATTAATGTAAAGACATGACATGAAGCTATGTCAAACTGCACTTTTAGGAGGGGGGCAGAGAAACCTGGGAGGTTAAACGTGATAGCTAGAGCACCAGGAATTACTAGAACAAGCACCTGGACACCCAGAAACTATGAATGCTCTCCCATGATCATGAATGATAATACCAGATTTTCAGAAAAGATCCTTATTTAAGTATCTAAAACCAAACCAAATATTTAGGTTATATATAGGTCTTGGGTTTGAGAGAATAAATTTCATCCTAACAGGTTAAAAATATACCCATATTCACTAGCTAATGACAGGCAGTCAATTTATCTAGAGATAGTTCAACACTGTCATTGAAAAAATCAGTAAAATATAGGGTTATGACCAATAAATAGGTTTATGGCCCTATTAGTGTTATCCACAAAAAGAAAACAAAATACTCCTTTGGGAGACGTTCTCTCTGAAGAATGATTTTAAGTGACACATGTAAATGAGGATTTTTAAGCATAAACTTTTTTTTAAAGATTTTTATTTATTTATTTGACAGAGATTACAAGTCAGCAGAGAGGCAGGCAGAGAGAGGAGGAAGCAGGCTCCCCGCTGAGCAGAGAGCCCGATGTGGGGCTTGATCCCAGGACCCTGGGATCATGACCTGAGCTAAAGGCAGAGGCTTTAACCCACTGAGCCACCCAGGCGCCCCAATTAAGCATAAACTTTAAGTATGGTTATTGTTATAGTCAGAGGTAAATGTTTGGAAGTCAAACACTTAAAATATTCTCTTAGTTAATGCTAATTTCATTATTGTATTATTAGATTAGCAATACATGGTAGCTACTTACCTTATCTGAAAGATTATCCCAGCCATAATTAAATGGACTTTCTAATGTATCCTGAGATATGGTGATCACCACCAAATTATAACAAGCTCTTGAAGAGTAGAGAAGAATGACTACAGAGCCTACGACAACGGTCTGGCACAGAGACATACCCTAGAAGAGATAAAACTCGTCATCATGGCATTTGTCACAAGCTGTTCATCCACATTCAACAGAGTCACCACTTGCAGTGGTGAGCTCGCTGAGTGAGCACTTGGTGAACTAAACTCTTGGTTATCCTCCTTTGCAATTCCTATCCTTAGAACCACTTGTGTTTAAACTATCCTATTAATACAAATAAGTTATTTGCCAACTTGGCCAATGGTAGCTGGAGGAAGATTTTGTCCTGCCATGATGACCTTACTCCCTTAAGTAATATGTGAATAAATAAATTGGTGAAATCGATATTAATTAAGAGAAGTAGTTTAGTCGTAATGAGAAAAGAATGGGAAATAGAAGAAAAAGAAATAGAAATAGAGGAAATTCCACTTCATACACTTAATTTCTAATGAGATACAAAATTAGAATAGAAATACAGCTCCTATGTTATTTGCTTCATTCTATCAAAGAGTTGATGTTAGTCCCTTATTGAAGTCATTATGTTGACAACAAAATGATGTTGGCACTCAAATGCACTTTCAAATCCACAATATTTTAATAGCAAGACTTCTGTTGTTTCCCCAAATAGAAAACCTTATAATTTATTACTTAGTCATAATTTAGTAGTCACACTCAACTTGACTGTGTATTCTGGAAAAAGGTGCAGTATCACCTTTTTACAAGGATTATTAACCTGGGGTCGATATTTCAATATAATTGGTTTCCTTTGTAATCCTATTTATCTTATGCATTAAAAACATTATTCTGAGAAGTGACACAATTGCCAAAGAGACGTACTGCAAAAAACACCCAGTGTGGTGTTTTGGAAGTTTGTGTTCTGGTTGTCACATGATGGCATTTAGCACACAAGGGCAGGGGAGGCTAGATGATCCGCAATTCACAGGAGAGTTCTCCACATGAGAGAATTCCTCTCTAAACTTCTCTAACTTTCCAGGGTCCTCATAGAAATTCATGAAGATGAAAAACCTGTTTGTAATGATCTGAGCTAAAACCCAATTGTTTTATATATAAACAATGTTTATGTTTGCATAGTTTGAATAGATGCCAACATTTCCAGACATACATATAACATGTAAACTGAGGGAAATTTGTAATTCGTTTTGTTCAGAACTTTATCAAGAATGGCCAAAATTTGGAAAATTGTGATACAGACAGCAATACTGTGTGTGGTGTGTAAGGCACCAACACAATACCCTGTAACAGTCTGTGTTTGTAGCTGTCCCATTCAGTTTCCGTGTACAAATAACAAGCATCTGACTAGCACATCATGCCCCCAAATTTACATATTGAAATATTGGTCAATTGCTTTCCTTTTATTTCCTCTTTATACCCAGGGCAATTATGTTGAATTTTTGAAGTTATGTGTGTAGGCAGATTAATAAATTGTTAATTGCAGGATAGAGTTTATTAAAAATACGTATCAGAGGGGTGTGCTGGGTTTGATAGGATTGAGAACCATTATTGTAACTTACTTCTTTATATATAAGAACAACACATTTTAGGGGCATATGAGAAGAAGGAGAGCTAAAAGATAAAAGATACCTTGAAAGATGTTGAGAGAGTACCTTTTTAAGCTTAGTCACTACCATAACAAAAAGTGTGTGTGAAAATAAATAAAACCCTAACAAGATTAAAATTCTCTAAAGTCAAGTCTAAAATTTTCTACGGTGTGCATTTTTATTTTTGTGAATCCCCCTAAAAACTGTTAATAAAAAAGCTAATCTAAAACCAATCCAGATCCAATTTTAGAAGTACTGTATTATTAAAGAAACATTGAGTAACAAAAACTTAAAATGCTGTAAGCATTACCATTCTTTAAAATAATCACAAGTAACTTTACAGAGGAATAAAATGACCACTAAATGGGCTTGATCCCAGACATAATATAGAGAGAGATTCTGCTCATACTTATAAGTACTATAAAAACTAAAAAAAAAAAAAAAAAAAGATTGGTAGAAAAGAGCAAAGAATCAATAACACTGAGGTAATTAATAAAACAAGATTACAGACAAATTACATACATATAAAAATGAAAGAAGCCCACTAATTTAGAAAACAAAAGATTCTTCCTGCAAAACACAGAATTACAAAACAAAACAAAGCAAAAAAGGATTCTGCAACATGGAAGCTGTTGTCAAAAGCTAAAGAAAATCTTCCTAAAATGGATAGAGTCGTAACATACAATTCCACTCAGGATCAGTCCTCAAGGTCTTATTTTCCCTTCCTCTATCCCTGCACTTTTTCGGAAATTCCACACCAGACAAGGAAAGAAGAGTTACATCTCACTCCAGGATGCCTATTATTAATATATTGGTATGTATATCATTGACTATAGTTCAATTTTGTTTACAGGTATTTTTAAATGCAGGTATGCAGAAATTTCAACTTATCATTCACTGAGTTTTGTTTGACAAATGCGTATACGCCAATACAACCCAAATTTCTACCAAAATAGAGAACATTGCCATCACTCCAGAAAGATCCTCATACTTCTTTCCCATCAGCCAAACCCTCAAAGGCATATACTCTCCTGCTTCCGTTTTTATAACTTAGTTCTGAACTTCAAATAAATGGGACCATTGAATATGAACTCTTTTGTAGGTTTCATTCAGTCAGCGTAATGTTTTCTGCTTCATGCATGTTGTTGGATGTTTCAGTAGTTTGGTCTTTGTATTGCTCAGGTGGTTGATTAGAATGACCAACTCCTCCTGGTTTGCTCAAGAGTTTCCTAGTTTTAGCACTGAAAGTTCCACATCCCAGAAAACTTCTCAGCCCCAGAGAAACCAGGACAGTTGACCACACTAATTCTACTAATTAGATGAAATTGTTTATATGAGAGTTTCATCTGTTGATGCACAGTTTCTATAAACATTCTTACACAAGTCGTTTTGTGGACATGTCCTTTCACTTCTTTGTGGTAAATACCTAAAAATGGAATTACTGGGTCATATGGTAGGTATAAGTTCAGCTGTATAAGAAACTGCCAGATCTTTTTCCAAGATGGAGGTACACTTTTACACTTCCAACAAAGTACGAGAGTTCCAGTTGCTCCACATCCTAGAGAACAATAGGGGTTTTCAAGCTTTCTAATTTTAGCCATGCTGGTAGATGTATAGTTGTATCTCATTTTGGTTTTAATTTGCATTTCCCCAACAACTTATTGGCCATTTGTATATCTTCTTTGTGAAAAATCTAGTCATATCTTTGACCACTTCTAAATTGGGTTATCTTTTTTTTTTTTTTTTTTTTTTTGAGTTGTAGAAGATCTCTATATATGCTGGAAATGAGTCCCTTGTCAGAAATATGTATTGCAAATATTATCTTGAAGTCTGTGCTTTGCCTTTGCATTTTCTTAGTCTTTTCTTTGGATGAGAAATTCAAACTTTTAATTAAGCTTAATTTATCAATTTATTCCTTCTGAATACTTTCTATGACCTAAGAGATCTTTGCTTACTCCCAAGTTATAAAGATGTTTTTCTGTGTTTACTTCTAAAAGCTTTGGAGTTTTTTCATTTATATTTAGGTCTATGATCCATTTAAAAATTTTCTTGTATGAGTATAGTATGAAATGAAGTTAGGGGTTCATTTTATTTCATTTAGATACTCAGTTTTTACAGCCTCATTTGTTGAAAAGCTCCCATTTTCCCTTCGGATTGCTTTAGCACCTTTGTCATAAATCAAAAGACCTTATAAGTGTGAATTGATTTCTAGCTTTTTATTCTGTTCCATTGATCTGTTTGCCTCTTTTATGCTAGTCACACAGTCTTAATTATTGTAGCTTTATACTAAATTTCAAAGCCATGTAGTGTAAGTCCCTGCTTTTTCAGGGTTTATTTCTGCATTGTTTAATGTAATAGCCGTTAGCTTCATGTGAGTATTTACATTTACATTTAAATTAAATTAAATTAAATTATTTATTTACTTGAGAGAGAGAACAGCACACACACATGAGGGGCAAGAAGGGGCAGAGGGAGGAGTGGGAGAACCAGAGAGCCCACCAAGCAGGAAGCCTGACATGGAGCTTGATCAGGTTCTGATCTCATCAGGATCTTGAGATCAGAACCTGAGCCAAAGGCAGATACTTAACTGACTGAGCCACCAGGCACTTCCTGTAAGGGACTCTTAACTATAGGGAACATACTGAGAGTGACTGGAGGGGAGGTGGGTGGGGGAGATGGGGTAACTGCATGATGGACATCAAGGAAGGCGTGTGATATAATGAGCACTGGGTGTATTATATGCATTTGATGAATCACTGAACTCTACTTCTAAAAGTTAGTAATATATTATATGTTAATTAATTGAATTTAACTAAAAAATTTAAAAATTAAATTATCAAATCCTCTTTCACAATAGCAACATTTCAAGTGCTCAGTAGTTACATATGGCTTGTTACAATACTGAATAATGCAGATATAAAATATTTTCATCATCACACAAAGTTCTACTAGGAAGCACTACTTTAAAAGTATTTTTAGGTCTTTTTCATTTTCACATACATTTAAAAATAAAATTGCCAATTTCTGTTTTTAAGAACCTCATGGTAGAATTATGATTAGGATTGGTTTGAATCTGTAGATCATTTTGGGGAGAATTGCCATCTTAACCATACTGCATCTTCCAATCCATGAACAATGGTCTCCACTGATTTAAGTCTTCTTTAGTTTCTGTCAGCAATATTTTGTAGTTTTCAGTATAGAGGTATTGTTTTTCAGAAAATTTGTTCTAAGTATTTCGGGCTTTTTGATGCTAATATAAATGGGGTTATTTTTTGAATTTCATCTTCTAACTGTCTGCTCTTGATATATATAAAATACAATATAATTTTGTATTTTGACCTTGTGTCCTGAGAACTTGCTACATTCAAAGTTCTAGTAGTTATCTAGTTATTTAAATATTAAGTTTTAAAAGATGTTTTATATAAACAATTCTGTTGTCTGCACTTAGAGACATTTTTACTTTTTTATTTCTAATTTTATAACTTTTGTTTCTTT